GCTTCCCTCAAGGCTAAATATAAAGATGTTACTTCTACACTTAAAATAAAAGAAGATGACTTGACTAATGCAAAATTAAACTTTCAAGATGAGAAAGTGAAACTTACCAAAGAATACTCTGATAAGCTGGAATTCGAGAAGCTAGCTGCCGTGGAGAGTTTTAAAAATTCTGATGAATTCAAGGTGCTCATAGGCAAGGCTTGCTGTGATGGTTTTGACCGGTTCAAAGCTCTTGTCGGCAAAGATCGTCTAGACATAGACTTTTCTAGGTATGACGTTCTAAGTGAGAGCGAAGAGGAAGATTGAATTCCATAGTATTAGTCATATATATATATATATATATATATATATATATATATATTAGGTTTTTTGATTTCTCAGTATGTTGTTCCTTTAAAACTTTTCAGAATATCTTTGAATCCAGAGAATAGTTGCTCTACTTTTGTCTTTCATGGTATTGTTCCATACTTGTTGTTTCCTTATACAGAACTCATTTTACTTTCCCAGGCTTCACTCAGCCCGTCCTTCTTTCGAAGGAACATATTTTTACGAGCTTCACCTAGCTCGTCCCTTTAGTAAGGAAAAGTCACTTATTTTTTTTAATAAAGAAGGGGACTTAATGTGTCACTAGTCCTTATGTGACTTATAAAATTCAGTAGAAACACATGCAATAAATACGAATAACCATTTTATTAAAGACCTATCGAAAATAATAATCGATAGTTGAATATTAGCATCCGTTACACACTGGTCTGCTTTATTGTAGCTAAAAACATTCTATCACTTTTAAAAGTGAGATAATAAAATAAAACACAGCCTGGCATGAGTACCTACTGGTAATATTTCCTCAAATGTTTTGCATTCCACGGGTGGGGAAGCTGGCTTCCACCAAGTGACTCTAACCAGTATGCCCCCGGTCTGTTGCTTTTGGTTACTCGATAAGGGCCCTCCCAATTGGGAGCTAACTTTCCTTCCCCCTTTTCCTTAGTAGCCGGGGTAACCTCACGAAGCACCAGGTCTCCTGGCTCGAACCTCCTTGGCTTGACTCGGGCATTGTAGTACTTGGATATCATCCGCTGGTAAGCCGCAACCTTGACCTGGGCCTGCTCCCTTTTCTCTTCTACCAGGTCTAGGTTTAATCGTAGTTCCACTCCGTTCTGTTAAGGTTCAAAATACTTGGTTCTGAAGGTAGCAACCTTTGTTTCTACCGGGATCACAGCTTCACTTCCAAAAGCTAACCCAAAAGGGGTCTCCCCAGTAGGGGTTCTTACGGTAGTGCGATAGGCCCATAAAACTCCGGGTAGTTGTTCAGGCCACAAGCCCTTGGCCTTTTCTAGGCGTGTCTTGATCATCTTTAATATTGTCCTATTCGTGACTTCAACCTGCCCATTGGCTTGGGGATGGGCAGGAGAGGAGAAATGAACTTTGATCCCAAGTTCATTACAAAAATCGAGGAACTGCTCACTTTCAAACTGCTTCCCATTATCGGTCACAATTACCCTTGGTGCTCCGAACCTGCAGATTATTGTCTTCTAGAAAAACTTTTTTACTTCATTCGCTCCAATATGAGCTAATGGCTTAGCTTCTACCTATTTGGTGAAATAATCGATAGCCACAATTACGTATTTAGTTTGTCCCTTCCCTTGGGGTAAGGGGCCGATGAGGTCTGTCCCCCATTGGGCAAAAGGCCACGGCCCTGTAAGAGGGGTTAACTTTTCTGCTGGTTGTTTTGGGACATTGGCGAATCTTTGACACTTGTCACATTTCTTCACAAACTCAAGTGCATCTGTCCTCATAGTAGGCCAAAAGTATCCTTGTCGGATAGCTTTATGCGCTAGTGATCTGCCCCCAGCATGATTTCCACAAAGGCCTTCATGTATGTCCTTTAGAATGTAATTTGCCTCATCAATGGAGACACAATGCAAGTAGGGTAGAGAAAATCCCTTCTTGTAGAGAACCCCATCAACGAGGGAATATTTTGCCGCACGCATCCTAATCTTTCGTGCTTCCATGCGGTCCTGGGGTAGCTCTTCGTTCTCAATGTACCTGATAATGGGTTCTGCCCACTCCATGCCATGGGCCACCTGGTGTATTTTCTGTGGCCAATCCCAGACCGTGCTAGGCTCATCCAAATATCCCACGGGTATGGCTTTATCTTCCTCTGTGGTTGCCAGTCGAGCCAGGGCGTTTGCCTGCGCATTCTTTTCTCGGGGAATCCGGTGAATAGAAAACTTCTTAAAAAAACCCTTGATATCCTCTATCTTATGTAAATAGGTCTTCATCTTCTCATCCTTGGCTTCATATTCCCCCTGGACTTGTCCAGTTATTAGTTGAGAGTCAGTAGATGCTACTAGTCGTTCAACTTCCAAAGCTTTCGTCATCCTGAGGCCTGCTAGGAGGGCTTCATACTCTGCCTCATTGTTGGTTGCTTTAAAACCAAACCTGAGTGCATATTTGATGCATTCCCCATTTGGGGAGATAATTACTAGCCCTGCCCCACTTGCACGGGCGTTGACAGACCCATCCACATATAAAGTCCAAGTAGATTCGGCTTCTTCCTGCTTATTTGCAGCATGCTCGGGCCCATCTTCTGGTGTGAATTCCGCTATAACATCTGCCAGTACCTGGGCTTTTAAGGCCGTTCGGGGTTTGTATTGGATATCGAACTCTCCAAGTTCTACCGACCACTTCATGAGTCGCCCTGAAGTATCAGGTTTGCGGAGAACCTGCCTAAATGGTTGGTCCGTCAATACTATTATTGTATGAGCTTGGAAGTAAGGCCTGAGTTTCCTCGCGGAGATAACTAGAGCAAATGCCAACTTTTCTATCCTTGGGTATCTTTCTTCCGCCCCCCTGAATGCACGACTAATGTAATATACCGGTTTCTGGTTTCCATCTTCTTCGCGGACTAAGGCTGAGCTTACTGCCGACGGAGAAACTGTCAAGTACAAATACAACTGTTCACCTTGCATCGCCCGCGACAATAATGGTGGTGAAGTGAGATACTCATTTAGCTCTGTAAAAGCTTGCTCGCACTCAGGGGTCCATGAAAAAGCTTTCCTGAGCACACAGAAAAAAGGCAAACACCTATCGGTCGCCCTGGAAATCAACCTGTTCAGAGCTGCGATCCTTCCTGTCAATCTTTGAAGTTCCTTGGTCGATGCTGGAGACTGCATGTTGAGAATCGCCTGGACCTTCTCAGGGTTAGCTTCTATCCCTCTTCTACTTACCATGTAACCGAGGAATTTCCCAGAGGAGACTCCGAAGGCACATTTACTTGGGTTGAGCTTCATCTGGTGTTTCCTGAGGACTTGGAACGTTTCCTGTAGATTAACCAGATGGTCTTGAGCTTTCAAGCTTTTTACCAGCATGTCATCCACATACATTTCCATATTCCTTCCGATTTGGTCCTTAAACATCAGGTTTACTAGCCGCTGATATGTTGCACCAGCATTTTTTAGCCCAAAAGGCATAACCTTATAGCAATATAAACCTCGGTCCGTGATGAAAGAGGTTTTATCTTTGTCTGGCGTGTGCATTGAGATTTGGTTATACCCTGAGTATGCATCCATAAAACTGAGCAGCTCATGGCCAGCTGTCCCTTCTACCAACATATCAATTCTTGGCAGAGGGAAACTGTCTTTGGGGCACGCCTTATTTAAATCCGTAAAGTCTACACACAACCTCCATTTTCCATTGGCCTTTTTTACCAAAACAACATTGGCCAACCAGTCGGGATAATGAACCTCCTGGATGAAATCAGCTTTCATAAGCTTAGTCACCTCTTCTGATATAGCCATGTTCCTTTCCGCGGCAAATGTTCTTCGCTTTTGCCTGATAGGTTTGAATGTAGGATCTGTGTTTAATCGATGCTCAATCGTAGTTGGATTAATACCGGGCATGTCTTCATGTGACCAGGCGAATACATCTTGATTCTGTCTGAGGAACTGTATAAGAATATTTGTGAAATCTGAGGGGAGCAGAGACCCTATCTTTACCTTTTTTGTTATGTCAGTGTCATTCAAGCATATCTCCACCAAGTCCTCGATTGGCTTAGCCCGGTCTTGCTCATTCTCTTCAACTTCATCGACAATCAAAGCCTCCTGCTGTCTCTTTTCTTTGGGAGATGCAACGTAGCATTCTCTGGCAATGGACTGATCTCCTCTTAGTTCGCCCACGCCATGCTCGGTAGGGAAGCGCATTAATAGGTGATAAGTCGAAGTGATAGCCCTCATCGAATTTAAGGTCGCTCTTCCTAGGATGACATTGTAAGCAGATGGACAATCCACCACCAGGAAGTCGACCATGACAGTGACTTATTTTGGGCTGGTTCCTGCAGTGACAGGAAGGATGACTGCTCCTAGAGGATAGACTTTGTCTCCCGTGAATCCCACCAATGGTGATCTGGTAGGTCTGAGTTTCTCCTTACCAATCTTCATTTTGCTGAATGCATCAAGAAAAATGATATCAGCTGAACTTCCATTATCTACCAAGATTCGCCGAGTATTATAGTTAGCGATCATCATGGTGACGACAAGAGGGTCGTCATGAGGTTGCTGCACATCTTTCATGTCTTCATCTGAGAATGTAATAACTGGATCACCTAAACGAGGCATCTTTCGATGTTGAATCTGTACTCCCACTTCGCACACCTCAGATGAGCTTCGCATTCTCCTTGCATAGGCCTTACGGGCTGAGCTCGATTCTCCACCTCCTGCACACCCCCCGGCTATGACCCTGATCTCTCTTATTGGTTGTTGATCAGGAGGGTGGTTATCTCGGCCTGCTCTTAGTGGGTTAATGTCGGTTCTGTCATTCCCCACAATAAATTTTCGCATGCGCCCTCTTCGGATTAGAGTCTTAATTTGATCCTTAAGGTCGAAGCAATCCTCTGTAGCGTGCCCATGGTCTTTATGGAACCTGCAATACTTATCACGAGGTCTCCTTGCCGGATCTGACTTCAACTTCGGTGGCCACTTCAGATATGGTTCATCCTGGATCTATAGGAAAACTTGATCTATCGGCATATTTAAAGGAGTGTAATTTGTATACCTCTCCGTGTTCTTATAGCGAGATGCCCTTTCATTCTGGTTGACCATGGGTTTCTTATACTTGGTTTCCTTTTCATCTCTGATCGTCAGGGCCGGCCTTTTCTTGTCTGACTTCTTATCCTCCCCTTCTTTTCCCTTTCTCGCAATCATTGCATCTTCAGCATTCATATGTCTTTTAGCTCGAACCAATAACTCGGCCATGTTGGTAGGAGGTTCCTCTGATAAAGAGAAAAGAAATCTTGAGGTTTGAAGTCCTCCCATGAAGGCGGCTAGGGCCACCTTGTCATCCGCTTCCTCCACCTGTAACATCTCCGTGTTAAAACGACTAATGTAATCTCGCAGTGACTCTCCGTTCTGTTGCTTCACAGTAAGGAGGTGGGTAGCCGGCCTTCTATGCCTCTGGCCAGCAATGAAATGGCCCACAAAGCCCTTACTCAATTCTTCAAAGGTTTCAATGGTTCGTGGCTTTAGTTTGTTGAACCATACCCGTGCTGATCCTTTAAGAGTCGTTGGGAAAGCCCTGCACATGATCTCATCCGGCATCGCGTGTAGGTGCATAAGCGCCTGAAAAGTCTCCAAGTGGTCGAGGGGATCTTTAGTTCCGTCGAAACTCTCAATTGTGGGCATTCTAAATTTGCTTGGCAAAGGGCATTTCATAACCGAGGGGCTGAATGGCAAATTGGTTTTCTGCACCAAACCATCTATGGCTGCAATGCCTTTTCCCTTCATGGCCTGCATCACACCCTCCATCTTTGCCTTGAGATCCTGCATCTCTAGGTCAACGTGGGAAATTTCCTCGGTCTTTTCAATGACGGTCGTGTCTTCATGGGGTTGGGAACTCCGTGGAAGAAAGGGGTGGATCACCTCTCTATGTCGGTTTCCCACCTGGCTTTGTTCAACTTCGGTCTCATGTCGGGGAGGATGAATATCTTGCTCTTTCAGATTCCCATTATGTAATACCCCTAATTTTAAAAGGATAGTCTCGGTATTTATTTATTTATTTTTATTGTATTTTTTTAATTGTTTAATTGATTATTTGACTAATTGTTTATGTGTTTAATTGAATTAAGTGTTACTTGATTAATTGGCTACTTATTTATGTGTTATTCGTATTTTGTCTTGGTGTTATTTGTATTATTTGTTTAATTAGATTGTGTGCTTAAATGATGTATTTGATTAATTGTAATTAATTGTAAATTAAATGATCAAATGTTTTATTTTATTTTATTTTATGGTTATGGTTAGTGGTAATGGGCTAACTAATTGGGTCTTATGGACTACTTGGATAGGAGGTTAGATGGGTATGGATAATTACCCATAGATAGTTCTATATGTATATATATAGATATATATGTATATACATATATATAAAAAGGAAAGTAATTTATTAATATTATAGTAACTTTAGTATTAATAAATAATCTGATGTATATATTTTATATATTTATATAATAAGGATACGTAACATGTTTTAAGTTACCTTTTAAATATTATGGTAACTTTAGTATAAATAAATAATCTGATGTATATATTTTATTTATTTAATGAGGATACAGATAGATTATATACGTAACATGTTTTAAGTTACTTTTTTAATATTATGGTAACTTTACTATAAATAAATAATCTGATGTATATATTTTATTTATTTAATGAGGATATAGATAGATTATATACGTAACATGTTTTAAGTTACCTTTTAATATTATGGTAACTTTAGTATTAATAAATAATCTAATGTATATATTTTATTTAATTAATAAGGATATACATAGATTATATACGTAACATATTTTAAGTTACCTTTTTTAATATTTTCATTTTTTATTTTTCTTTATTAAGTTGACTTGGATTGGGAAAAGGAATAGGGTTATTATTTAGCCTATAAATACACAACTATAGGTTGAAAAATGAGTGAAAATATATCACGTAATATATTCTAGAGAGAGAGAGTTAAAGAGAGAAGGCGAAAGAGGAAGGAAGGAGGAGAAAACCCTTTAGAGAAAAGATCAAGGAAGAAGAAGTTTAACTTTCAATCCGAAAGTTTAAGGCAAGTTCTTCTTCTATCTCTTTCCCTTTGATTCGTGTTTCTGTATATGCCTAGAAAATTCCAGGATTTATTAAACACATAAAATTAAATAATTATGCATGTTTAATTGGGTTAGAACATAGGTTTTATGAAATTGGTTCATATCTGTTCTTGTGTTATGAATTGATAAAATGCATGATTTTGATTTGATTTCTTATGTGAATTTTTACATGTTTAAATTATGTATTTTTCATATCTGTGGAATGATGGAACGTAGAAACATGCCTAAGATTCCTGAACATTAAATAGGGACTATGTTTGGGTTTTAATAAATTTAAATAGACCCAATCATAATGATACTTACTATTTGAATGTTTTAAACAAACGAATGGATTTAATCTTTTAAAATATTTTAGCAATTGAGATTAAATGTGCAGGATGAATTGGATATGGAGAATCCTTATTTAACGGTATAATAAAATATCATCATGTATAAGATTCAGTTTGTGTAGGACATGTGATATAGGAAGTTTAAAGAAATAATAAGTCATTCCTATTATGTGATAACTTGATATCATATTTATCATAGTTATTTATGGAATGTTTGATGTATTTCCTTAATTGTTACATCAATTGTTGGATTGTGTGATTTAATGCACCGGTATGGGACGGTGGCATTCTAGGGATGGTTTAACTTATTAGTTAAGTCCTACCTATTTTATATAAGGGAATGGATTAACTAAAATGTTAAGTCCTACTTATATTTAAGTCAGGTCAGCTGAACAAGTTGAATGACTTATGGATGATTAATTTATTATATAAGGGAATGGATTAACTAAAATGTTAAGTCCTACTTATATTCAAGTCAGGTCAGCTGAACAAGTTGAATGACTTATGGAGGATTAATTTATACTGGATAGGATGGTTACTAGATTTTATATATATAAGTATGGTGCCATGATATGAGCTTGAGTCTCAGGATCAATGGTTAGGGCGCGTATATCGCCAGGGATGTGTAACTAGATATAGTGTAGTTGTGTACCCTGGTAGGTCTAGGTACTCATGCCCACTATACGTGCGTTTTGCATGTTGCATACTATTCAGGTTGAGACAACCCTATAGTCTAGTGAGGTTCCTTTAGTGTGTATATATATATATATACGGACTACTAGTTACTGTTGGATTGACTAGGATGTATACGTGTATCGGATCTTTGCTTGGACTGTAGTAGAGTAGAACTTGTTTGTGGGCCTGACCCACCATTATTTTTCAGGTGTTCGTCACGAGTAGAGGTTGTTCGTGCTGAGCGGGGATCAGTCTACTTCATTCTTCCGATGCTACATAGGAGTTCCTTTATGATTCAGTTTCCTGTTTTAGATTACTGTCATTTGTTTAGTTTGGATTTTCTAGGGGTCCACACAGTATGGATTCTCGAGTTGTATTTTGGAGGATCAGTTGTATCAGAAGAGTTTATTAATTAATGGAAGTATATTATGAGGTTTATTATCAGATTATCATTTTAGTTTCTTGTCAGCATTTTATTTATTCTTCTTTATTCTTTTGTACTCTGTGTTCGTTTATTATCAATTTGTTTTGATATCCTCGGGTATTCGGGCGTAGGCCTGGCCAACCCGCATTCGGAAATTCGGGGGTATCACACATTACCCCTGTTTGGATTCGAGAGGTCTTGGCGTGGCAAACCCTGTTGAACCGGTGGAACAAGGTGTTGCAAGAGTGCTGCATTTTGTTGGATCAACTGGTCCATACCTTGATTCAGAGTTTGGACCTGCAGTTCCAACGCTGCAAATCGTGTCTGGTCATTTGGGACGTCTAGATTTTCACCCGACTCTTCCCTTTGACCAGATCCCTGCGACGGTGTTCCTTCGGTAACCATACCGGACCGCAAACGTCTATACCCAACGAGTAATAAATCGATTCAAGGGAATCGCTGTTCCCACAGACGGCGCCAACTGTTGAGGTTGAATTTCACCGCGGTCTAGTACGACACCGTTTCCTGCAAAATAAGGATGGCAAAGTCAAACACCGGTGTGGTGCCGGCCGTTGACCCTCCAACGATCAAGTTAGCAAGGATTCTCGATAGAGAATTTTAATCGTAATTTGCTTAGTATGAGTTTTTTTTGTGTGTACCTTATCCCCGAGTCGTCTTTGTCTTTATAGTCACTTCCCTTCTTCTTGATAAGGGAGTTTCATCGTCCTTAGCCCATGGAGCCTACCTCGTGGAAATCCTATCCTTGATAAGATTTGAACTTATCCCATGACAAATCCTATCCTAGATACGATTTGTCATCATTCTTATCTAATAGAATGGTTATCCTTAATAACGAAATATTATCGTCTGAGAGTTGGAGAAATCTGGTGGCAGGTCAATATTTAATTTCCTTTTTTGTTAAGTCAAGATAGGCTAGGGTTATTTTTCCCTATCAACTAGTACTACCATCCATGCAAACTAGCTGAGACATAGCCAACACACACACACACACACACACACACACACACACACACACACACACACACACACCTAGAGAGAGAGAGAGAGAGAGGAGGGCTGCTGCATTAGCATATTATGAGAACTTCCAAATGTCAGGGAGTCTCTTACCTCTGACCACTTCAATTTTTTTAATTTTTTTTTGAGTTAAGTAAATAGTTACAATTTCTGATAATTGAATTTACTATCTTTAAAGAAAAAGAGAGGGATTCGTAGATGGGTAAAAATTATTCTTAAATGAATGTGTCATGTGTGAGTTTTGTTTCTTGTCAATAAAAATGAAAAAAAAAAAAAAAAAAAAAAAAATTTGTTGTTTTACCACAACACAAATTCTAGCCCTCAATGACATCATAGTTGTGCCATTGTAACAGACTTCAATTTCTTAGTGGTTTTTTTTTTTTTTTTTTTTTTTTGAGCAATTTCCTAGTTTCAATGAGACAAATAATGTTGAGTTCATAGCTTGGAATAAAATTCCTCACTTCATAGTATCGAGAGGGTGATTTAGCCCTTCAATATTTCAACACAAAAAATAAAAAAATAAAATAAAAATGTTGATCTTTAATACAAAGTTAAAAACAAGTTTGGTTAAAAAAAAACAATTTGTTGATGCAGGCGATTGTGATGCGTTCTACATCCAGCGATAGTACATCCGGCCATTACTATTGCAGTGGCTCTAAAAGGGGTATAACCAACTTTTAGAGCCACTGCAATGGTAACAAGAATCATTACTCGACAGAAACAATCTCTATTCAATGGGGCTCACTTGACAGTGGAACTAATCAGGAAAAGAGTACATCTGACCGTATCAGGAGAAAAAATTACAGCAACATATACGTGTACATGTACAGGGGGATTGATATATATATATATAAATAATTTTATCAGAGATATTCAATAGCTCCAAATAATTAAAAAGTGGGTAAAATGCATTAAACCCCCTTAAACTATTGATCATTTGCAAGAAATCCTCCTGAATTATAAAAAAAACCCCTGAATTATGATTTTGTTGCAATTTACCCCATTAAATTATTGGTCATTTGCAAGAAACTCCCCTGAATTACAAAAAACCCCCCATGAACTATGATTTTGTTGCAATTTACCCCCCTAAATTATGATTTTATTGCAATTTACCCCCATGACATTAGCTTTTAGCACCGAAAATTTTGAAAGACCAATTTACCCTTATAACACACTGTGTTATTTTAACTTATACACTTCTTACATTTTTTTTTTTTT